CTGGTCCTTTCCTAGACACCAGAGGTGGCGTTCTTCAGTTTCTTTTTTCCTGTCTTCCAGGTATATCAACAAAGGTCTGCTACAGTACTGACTCTACCTTCTCTCTCTTTATACTTGTATTGCTAATTCTAAATGCTTCTCTGTGTCCCTATAATGATCTTTTGACAAACTCCTCACTGGTGAATTCTCGGTCTCTTTCATAATCCCAGATCACCATTTCTTCTTTGATTTTATACTGTGCATCTTGAAAATTCACTGGAGTCATACATGCAGATTGACTCTTGGTCACACCCAGTTCTTTGAAGACGAGCAGTTCTTCTGGGTAATTCTGGGGGTGTCACTGGCAATGTTTTCACAGATGATGGAGCAACATAATAAGGACTGCTTCATGGGGTGATCTCGCCACAAAAAATAGGCACAGATCCATTCATGGCTCAGAGTCTCTCTGCTCAAACCAAAACTGCAGGTTACTATAATGCACGCCCATGGGTTTAAGCTGATGACTTCTACAACTGCTATCTCCAGTCCATACCTCTTCTCTGATCTCCAAATTCATATCCAGCTATTAAGAGCACCATTTGGATGATCAATACAGATCTGTAAAATAACCCAAATCAAATTTAATATGCCTCTAAACAAATTCCTGATTTCCCCAAACTACTTCTCTCCCTAGGCTTTTCTACCTCCATAAATGGTGAACACATTACTCTAGTTACTCAGGTAAAAAATCTTGGCCCAACAGCAAGTTTGCTGGCTCTTCTTTCCAAAAACACCCTGTCCATCCCCTTCTCCTCACATTTACTGTGACTGTCTAAGCCCATCGTTTCTCTCCTGGACTATGGCGGTAGCCTCCTAACCAACCTATATTCCCACGTCCCATCTCTGCCCTCCGTGTTCATTTACCCCATAGCAGCTAGACTAGTGAACCCTCTGAAAATATTAGGTCAGAGCATGTCATCAGAACCTTCAGATGGGCTCTCATCTCAGAGTGAAGGCCAGGACCCTTACTAATGGGCCAGGGAGTCTTACACCATCTGTCCCTTCCTGCACGCCTTATCTCTCTGGCCTCATCTCCTGCTATTCTCCACTTTAAACTTTCTGTTCCAGCCACACTGGCCTCCAGGCTAGTCCTCTGGCACCCAAAGCAGGCTTCCCTCTGGACCCTTGGTGCTGGTTCCTCTGCCTACCACACTTTTCCATAGGTAACACCATGATTCTCACCCTCACCCCCGTGGGTCTTTAGTCAAAAGTTATCCTTCCAGGAAGGCCTTCCCTAACCAAGCTAGTTTAAGTTGCAACCTTTGGCCCTTACCCAGCATTCTCTTCTCCTCTTCTTTGCATTATCTCTGTACCACTTATCACCACATGACATATTATGAATTAACTATCTCCCTCCATAGAATGTAAATGCCACGAGGGAAGGGATCTTTGTCTTTTTTGTTCCTTGCTGCATCCTCAGTGACTTTTTTTTTTTTCAAAGATTATTTATTTATTTATTTGAAAGAGATCACAAGTAGGCAGAGAGGCAGGCAGAGAGAGGGGGAGGCAGGCTCCCTGCTGAGCAGAGAGCCCGACGTGGGGCTTGATCCCGGGACTCTGGGATCATGACCTGAGCCAAAGGCAGAGGCTTCAACCCACTGAGCCATCCCGGTGCCCCCTCAGTGACTATTTTAACAGTGCCTGACCCACAACAGATATTCAATAAAAATTTGCTTGAACGTACTTTGTCTCAGGTCGTCACAGTGGTTATACGGTGTGGTTGTTGGGAAGTGGGTTTGGAATTGGACAAACTTGGGTTCAAGTACTGTGACCCCACTGATTAGTTGTGTGGCCCTGGGCAAGACACATAAGCCTGTTTTCCCCTCTGAAGTGCAATAATCCCTGCCCTGCAGGGCTATTCCAAGTGGGTGAAATTAAGCTAGGTAAAAATGGGCATTCACAAAGAGGAGTTGTTAAATGTAAGTTTCATAATCAAGATGGGTCCAGTGATAAGCCAGAGCCCGGGAAATACTGATATCCAACAGCGGCCCAGCATACTGTCACTGGAGGAAGCTTTTAATGGGCACTGGTTTTATTCCACATACTGTTTAAGGCTTTTAACCTGGGGCGGGGGGTGGTTTTAAAGATTAAAATTTTAAACTCTGCTGAGATGAAGTACTGTAGAAACCAAAAAAGCAAGTGAAATTCCCCTACCATTGAGTACATGAGAATATAATGTACCTCTTAGAAATCCTTAAATCTTCCCTGCAGTCCTTGATCTAGCATTTAAAGCCCACCATGGAATTAACTTTCAGATGCTTCCCATAAGAATAAACCTTGTTTTCTGAACATGTCCAGCTCAGATCTGAAACCCCTAACATTCATACATAGTAAACATGCAGCCCAAGTCTGTTTTAAACAAAGCTTCCAGGGGTAACTCCCATTAACTCAGGCACTGATACCATCTTTTTTGACTTCCTTGTTACCATATGGGTAAGAGCATCCTCACAGCAGCATGCAATGTCAGCAAAAAGGCCAACTCAATGGGGGAAAGGAAAGGTTATTTTCAAACTAAGAGCTATTATTTAGAATAAAGGGCAATTTCCCTGACATAAAGACACTGCAAAGTACTCGTCTTACCCCATTTTCTAAAGTTAAGATTTAAAAAATTTATCATGGTCAGAGATTGGAAAGTTCAGCTCTGAAGATTATTAATGATCATTTAATGAAAATACAACCATAACACATTTTCTGCTTCTCTGAGCCCATTTCAAACTTCATCGTTTTCTTACCATGCATTCCCAGTGAGGTCACTGGGTGCAGCGGTATAGAGCCTGCTGACTCATAGGAGCTCACATCACAGCAGCTTCATTTGGGAACTTAAGACTCCTGGCCCCAGTTACATACCGCCTGACAGCAAAATCATATAAATCATCATTTACCCTTTTCCACAATGGACTTTGTTTAGGAAGAATAATAATCTAACCCGTATTATTGCATATTTTATACTCATTTACTTAGATAAAAAGCAACTATTATTTTATTAGTTAAATGTTAAGATTATTAAATGTTAATTATTTTTCTAGCCTGAGAAATGCCATTTGTAAATGAGCCATTTGCACAAACATTATTCTTGAGTCTCATCTACATCACTGCAAAAATGCCTGTAGATGCCTTGCTTCTCTGCTCTCAGCCAAGGTTTCTGACCTGGGCACAACTGACATCTTGGACCAGGTACTTCCTAGTCATGCGGGAGCCCTGTGCACCATGAGATGTTCAGCAGGATTTCTAGCCTCTACTAACGAGATGTTAATTCATTCATAGTGAAAAAATGACTTTAATAAACTAATTTTCAGGCCTGCGAATACACGGATAATCTACAACAACAAAAATCCCACACACATATCTGATATCCACGGCCAGCTAGAAGTGTGAAAACACGATGCAAAGTTCGGTGCCAAGGCAACACGGTCCTACGAGGAGGAGAGTCAGGTATTGCACTGCTGCTCAGCGGCAGTTTTCATGCTCTGCACTCTGGCAAAAACTGGGGTAGGGACAGATGGGGAGGAAACAGAAGGCCAAGTATTAATGTGATCCTTTATGCCGTGATGGTCAGTAATCTACGGAGCAAAAGGGGCCTTCTGATCCATCTTGAACCTTCCTCTTGACAAAATAAGGAAGTGGTAGAAAAAGCCCTGTCCCTGATAAGCCAAAGTATCATAACTGATTTTGAGTCTTGACCTTCTGCCTGAGTAAGACTCAGCTCTGCTCAGCAACAAGGCCCTGCGCCGATGTGCATGGCAGGTATGGCCATCGGTCAGCATACCAGGTGAGGAGTGGGGCTGGCCTTGCCTCAGCCACTTAAGCTTGTTTCCACATTCAAGAAAGGGGTTACTCTACCTCCCGCACAGGGCTGATTGAGGTGTTGGCATACACTTCGTCCTCAATTCATGTTAACGGTTGTGGTGGTAGTTGTAAATGCCAAAGTCTGATAGAGAAGAAAGGTTAAAAAGTGTTGCTCAAAATCAGACTAATCATATTAATTGTGTGACTTCCTTTCTTCCTCCCTTCCCTAAAAGACAAAGAACACAACAAAAGAATCCCAGGACATTTATTTCCACAAGTTCTGATAAAACAGCACAACCTTGAACAACAGTGCTTAAAGGCAAAATTACACAGCAAACAGGAGCTGCCCCTGAACACTTTCACAGAGAAACTTCAGGAAGGAATTTCCACCTCCTGACAGTTGCACAATTATGCATGTCTCCTAAGTACTACAAGCCCCATCCTGCCTCTCGTTTTTTCCTACTTCTGCAATTGAAATGTGTATTGACAAGTTGTACGTGTGTGCACATGTGGACACAAAGAGCTCACTTTACCTCCTTGAGGAAGGAGCTCAGAATGCTTTGGAAAGAAGTTACCCCAACATGATGGAGAAGCCAAGCCAAGGAGGCTTTGGAGCTAGAGCTAGCGTTCTCCTCAGAAGCCCTTCCACTCTAAAAATATCACCGTGGGTGCCTGAAATTTGAAAGCCAGTGGGCTCATGGTGGTGTTCACTCCTGTCCTCAATTTCCCCCAAGGTCAGGTCTGCAGAGAAGAGACACAGGGGAAGGAGAAGGTGAGATATGTGGGCATCACACACCCAGCTTAGGCTGGGAGGCCATGGAGGGGGATGAGGCTTAGGACGTGTACTCTGCCACTGGCGAGACACCATTCAAAAGCCTGTGCTCAACGCCATGCTGTTCAACCAGTCTCTCCCTCTACCACCGCTATGGATCAAGAGTTTTCACTGTTCAACACTGATCCTGGACCCCAGAACTGCCCCCCCCATAGGCCTCAGGTGCACCTTGTTTAAGGTGTATAGCTGGGGCTTCAGTATGACTGCTTGCCACTCACAGCTCTGCAGCCCTCCAAGGCATGTGATGGGAAGTCAGTGCCTTCATACGTTGACAACTGTTGCTCTGATACCGCAAACGGCCTGCTTTAGGCAAAGGAGGGGTGGATGGAGGAGGCTAAGGCTGCCCTTAAGTCACCGTGAGTCCTGGGACGGGGCTAGTGAAGATCTTGTGCTGGGGCCTGGAGCGCTGGGGGCCTGTTAGGCAGATGCCTTTGCTGCTCTCCGGGCCTCATACTCCTGCTTTGCCCTCTCCCTCTGCTCCTCTTCCCTCTGAATCAAGTGTACCCGCTCCAGATGCCACTGCTGCAGCTTCTGCTCGTAGGCTGCGATGTCCTCGGCTTCACAGGTGGGGAGCTGTTCCTTGATGAGCTGGGTGGTCAGAGCCAAAAGGCTTTCTGACTCAACTCGGCCCAGGGCCTCAAGCTTAGAGTGCAAGTCCTGTTGGAAATCAAGGAAAAAAAAGATGGGGGTGGGGAGGAGGATGGAAGGAGGATGCAGATGGGAGAAGGCAAAGCAGAAAGGAGATTAAGTCATTGCAAAATCTCCACACATTCTGCTTACAGGAAAAGGCATTTTATTGGGAACCTGTCATGCTGCCTTTCATACAGATGCTGTGAGTGCTTGCCCCCTTCTTTTTTTTTCAGTCCAGCACTTTTGCTAAGATGCACCACATGTGATTTCTCTCCTTTCACTCACGACCAGTAAATGGGACTCCATATGCTGTGATTTTCTAAGTAATTTCTTGTTTTAATCCACAAAGACAGCACAAGCCTAACAAATCTACCTTTCCCCTCTGACGTGCACCAAACCAAGCACCAAACTCCCAGAGCAAAGCACTCTAAGATGCACACAAAATGGCAGAAGCAGCTGATAACCGGGCACAAGCCCGTCCACATCTTTTCTTTCAGAATGATGGAAATAAATGTTTGCTTAACCAGGGGTCCTTTCAACAGATGGAAATCATTTCAAGAACTTTCTACTAATGGCATGCTAAACGGCTCCCATGAGTGCTCGCACTATTATAAGCTTCCACCTGCTGCGCTCCGTCGCAGGTCAGCCTTTACAAACTGCTCACAGCTCCATCTGAAATGGCATCTTGGTTTGGGCGGTATTGTATTCCTGGAGGAGTCAAGTACTAAAAACACTAATCTCCTTAAGTGCTTCAAGATGTAGACCATCAAGAGAGAGCCACTCATGGCTCAGCTGTAGCTTATGCCACGAGTCCCCATGTTCCAAACACAAGCACAATTCACTGGCATAGGTGATGAGGCTTGCTCCAATACGGGACTGGAAGGTGGGCAGGATCCATACGTCAAGGAGTGGCTAGAGGCCTAGTGTGCTGGGTCAGTCCTGTAAAAATGGACCCCACACAAATTACCCGAAACTAATAAAAGGCAACAGGAAGAAAAAGAAATGTACAATGACAATTATTTCTTTCCGAGATTACTTTCTGTGCGGTTTGGAGGCAAGGAGACAGTTTGGGACAAGAGAATAAGGACTCAAATCTGAGTTAGCAAACTTTGGTTCAAATCCCAGATCAGTCACTTATGGGCCAGCGCGTCTCAGCCTGGAGTCATGTAACACAGGAAAAGCAGCATCTGCCATGCAGAGCCGCAGTGAAGATGGGTGAAACGCACTGATGCCTGTGACACAGCCAGCAGCCAATAAATGTTTGTCTCCTGTTTTCGATTTTCAAAAAAATGCATGTGTAGAAGAATGAGGACTGAGAATTTAATGCAGCACAGATTTCTATTCTTTGAGATTAAATATATAAGAAACAAGCGGAAGAGGCAGTCATTTTTAGGTGTGTTATAGCAGCATTTTTTGTTTGTTTTTTAGACTTTCTTAATCTGCAAAGTTAAGAGGAACAGGTAGGTATGTAAGTTCTTTACCACCAGTTCTGTGTACCTAATATCGATCAACCTTTCTCAGTTTTCAAATTCTGAAAGAGGGACCCTGAACAATGACTTTATAGAATTAGTGGAGGAACAGCAGCTGCAAGTAGAGTCCTTGTAACACTGGGACAGAGGTATCCCATGTTCAGCATTACTGAACATGTCATCAATAGGCAAAATGACACCTCTCTGCCCCAAAATGACACATGAAGTCAGCTGGCATGGATGGGAAGGTTTTCTGCTTCATATAAAGAATTCTTCAGACAGCACATTTTTCTCTCTGCCCTTTGTAGACAAGAAACAAAGCAAGGAAGAGGCCAAGGGGTTAACCCGTAACACGGCTCTTCTTCCCTGACGCTGATAACAGAGTATTCTGGGCCACGCAGTTGAAAGCTACCAAAGACAGCTTGAGCGCTCAAGACTACTTGGAAAAGAAACAGTGGAAACTTGTTTCCATCTTCCATGCAGTCCAAAAACGTATTCGGGGGGCCCGAGGGCACAACACAAAACCAAACAACGGAAGCTGCCTGTAGCTGATCTCCATCATACTTGAATGTGGCTTTCTAATTCCCACTTGGGGTTTTGGGTTATCAAGCACATGAGAAATGACCGATCCTTTCCACCTGGGGTCGGAGTCAGGCGACTGCTCCGAGTCGGCAAGCTAGTACCCTCAGACACATCAGGGATGAGTGTGTAATGACACACTGCTACAGTGAACAAAACTGGGACTGATTAGCTCATGCACAAAAAGGAGTATAAAAATTCCATTTGTTTAAGAGCGCTTCCTGTCTGAAGCCTCATTGGTGATGTCAGCTTTTCATGCCTGTGTGTGTGACAGCGAGGCACGAAAGGCCTGCCTGACACCACAGCAAAGAAGGACAGTGGAGAGGGGCTGAGTTCTGCTACGACGCACCCTGAATCGTTCCAGATACCAGGGAAGCTTGGACTGTTCGGTCTCCTCCACGTCCAGCTGCTCCACCAGGTCTTCTGAGCCCCGGCTGTCTTCCCCTTCTCGGGGCTGTTCCTCCGAAGCCGCGGGGGCTGGAGCAGTCAGAGCTTTCAGTGTTCTGTCCAGCGCAGCCAGCTGTGGGGCAGAAAGACGGGGCAGGGACTAACCATCCTGTGGCCCTGAAAACACACCGGGAAGAGAAGCTGGGCCACGGAAAGGAAGGAACGGCTGGGATCTGCAGCTTGCGAACTCTTTCTCTTGTAAAATTATCGGCAAGAGTCGTGGTTATGCAATTTTACGTCAGAAACTCCCCACTGGGTGGCAGGGACAACCTAGCCCAAAGCGTGTGGTATGAATATGCAAGCTCAGAATCACCTGTGTACAGATCAGCACCGCATCACCTGATTTCACCTTTAGTCAACAGGGGAAGGGCCCCAAAATTATGTTTGATGGGGACTCCAAGTATTCCTCTTCCACGCGCTCTTCCTCAACCGGTTTGGAATTGGGAGAAGGACAGAAAACCCACCACAGAGCACAACCAGCAGAGGGTCATTCTGAATGTGCAGGAGAACCTCAGAATCTAGGCGAGCTTCCTTTACAGAAAGACTGGAGCTCAGTTTCAATTCCAGGCGAGAGCGACAGTTTTCCTCTCAGACAGTGAGCTATGGCATCAACATTCATCTTATTCTCTAATACTTTTTGTCAGTAGCACTGAGAATGTGTGTGGATTGTCATTCCTTTTCAACTGGATGAATACACGATTCTACAGAGTGAAGACAGCAGGGGAAGGGGAAGGACATGCAAACAAATTCGCAGGCTGGCTTACAAGGAACAGGAGATGGCTAAAGGACACTGACTCAGAGCTGAGGGACGTACCGCTTCTGCACACAGCTTCCCAACATCCGGGGACGAGGCCACCATCTCCATCACTTGAAGGGCTCGGTCAAGGTAGCCAGGTTTCCACAGCAAAGGCACGTTATGGTACACAGTCCGTAGCCCTCGCTGCAGCTCCACCTTCCCTGTGCCCAGAAAGAACAACAAAGAAGCCTCAGCCATGGCTTCCCACTATGTATGAGACTGAGGACTTGAAAGCACAAGTGAATATGAACCTGGAAAATAATTTCAAATCTGTACCAAGAGCCTCATCCTGTCCAGTGAGCTGGTGCCATTTCAGATGGATGATGAAGAATATGGTGCAATTCACTGAAGCTGTTTTTTAATACAAAACTGTACGAATATGCTTTTCTTCTTTTCCATTTGGTCTGGTGGAAATCATCATGAGGATGTATGAATCAGGGCTGAGGGAAATTCAGAGAGGTTGATATCTGTCTCTTTAAGTGGAACTACCCTTAGAATACGAGTCAAACAACTGAATACTATTTTTGTTTCAAGAACAAAATCTTCCTCTGAAAAAGAAATCCCACAATTCTCCTACAGTGGAAATCTTGTCAACATATGACAACTTTCCCTGCCAGCAAATGTTTGATATTTTTCAAAATGCTCCAAAACACCCCCATCGACTGTCCTTATGGAAAAAAAAAATCTGATTTTATTCTTCTTTCCTTTATTTGGGCTTCATCATCCTTTTCAGATCTTCAGATATGAATGTTATTCTTTGTACCTCAAACCATCACAACTGGAGCTCAAGATGTGGACACTAGACGGCCGGGTCCTCGGCTGGGCCAAGGGACTGTCTCTGTGCGCCTGCAGAACAGAAGCCCTCTCTGCACTAACGGCCAAAGTCACCTTGAGCTGCCAGGTCTTAAAGCCACCTTCACTTATCTTTCCTGGGAAGGAGGATTTGGGAAGGCTGTGGTAGGACATAAATAGACAAAGCTTATCAGGTGACAGCTAATTTTAGATTTTTAAGACACTGCAGTCCCACTCTGGGAAGCTGCTGCCATGGGGCTGAGTGGGGCTGCATGCACAGCACATGACACAGAGATTTGATCTGATGGCCTCCCATCCCAAAGCACCAGGGCCTCCTGCACAGAAACAGCAGCTACAATGTACTTTTTCTTGGCCCTTACAACTCCCTCAATAATTCACACAGTCCTGAATACTCACTGAAGGCAAAGGTAAAACAGGTGTAAGTCAAAAGCAAGAAAGTAGATGGCATATTAGGAGAAAACAATTTTTAAAAGGAGTGGTCAAGGGGCACCTGGGTGGCTCAGATGGTTAAGCATCTGCCTTCTGATAGGGTCATAACCCCGGGGTTCTTGGATTTGGCCCCGAATGGGGCTCCCTGCTCAGCAGGGAGCCTGCTTCTCCCTCTCCCTCTGCTGCTCTCCCTGCTTATGCTCTCTCACTCTGTCAAATAAATAAATAAAATCTTAAAAAAAAAAAAGAAAAAAAAAGAGTGGTCAATTCTTTTGCTAGTCTGATAGCCAGCTGATGAACTCTAAAATTCCTCTCCCTCTGTCAGTCTACAACAGAATCAGCATGCAAGAAGGCCACACCATATTTGTTAGTGAGGATCAATTTCAAAACTGCTAAAACTTTGATGATTTTCATAAAACGAAGGTAAGTCAAAGCAGTGTATGGTTAAGAGAAGGTGCCTTCTGAAATGCCCGCCTACTTGAGAGAGAAAATGGAAGAATAATGAAATAATATGCATTTAATAGACCTCTGTAAATCAGGGCACATTTTATGCACACTTAGGTTGGATGCTATTTGCCCCACTTCCACACAACCCAAGTTCCGAGGCTTCATCCTCCTGACATGACTTTCAATGCCATCAGGGCATCAAAGTAAAGCAACCATCTCCCAGCATGGAACAGTCACATTGTATCACGAGTCTCTCTGCTTTCCCAAAGTGCTATTTAGATGCACTCTCTGAGTATCCCTTCCTTCACCTGAAAACAATACCAAGGATATGAGTTCAACCCTAACTCTTAATATCTTACCTCCTGGACTTTAGGTCTAAAAGAGACACAAAGATCTTTGTTAGTACTGGGAAAATTTTTATTGGCTGGTTCTCCCAAAAGAGGGCCAGAACTTTCCTTTCTTTATCCCCTCCTCACACTGATTACCACAAAATATAACTCAAAGCCACCAGAATTAGTTTTCACCTTGCAGCGGTAACAGATTTTTAGCACCCTCTTTACTGTCTCTTAAGGTTTTATCCCATAGCTGTTAAGGCTATCAAGGTCTATTTTTATGTCTAAAAATGAAAGCTGTATTGGAATTTCACTGGTACACTGAAATCAAATTAAAAAATCATTATAATGTAGAAAAATGCATCAGTTCTATCCAAAAGGACAATATTTGTAAGGATCACTTAGCTTACCAAGAAGTGCATAGCCATACAACTGGGAACTCAACCCCACCGAGTTCTTTTGCTTTAAGCCTGGGAGTAATAGGGATGCACCAAAGTTCCTCTCCTCTTCCCACTGCAACAGAATAAAAGAGATCATGGTCCAGCCAAACAAAGAATACTTTATGCAAAAATTTGATTTTTAATGATTTTTAATAGGTGGAAAACAAGTTGTAGCACTAAATAAAAAAAAAAAGCAAAATAACAAAGCTACAGGTACATTATAATCTTAATTTTATAAAGAAAAGAGTTATATCTAATGACTAATACAGGAAAGAAATACCTTCTGTTAATGGATTTCTGGAAATTATGAGCCATTTTGGTTTTTTCTTTATACTTTTCATTATTTTCCACATTTCTGGCAATGAATAAGAGTTCCTTTTGCAATCAGAAAAGCAAAACAAAATAAAAATAAAGAGCACACTCTGGACCAACACTGCCTTCAGACAATCAATAAAGATCACAGATGCTGTCAGCCCAATATTCACTCACATTGCTACGACATGCTGGGGCAAGCTTTTGAATTTTAAACAAGTCAGCAACGATAAGACTCCCACTTCACAGTGTAAAAATAAATACAACTATTAGGTTGCTTTTAGATAAATCTGTGCCTCTTAAAAATAAATTGGACAATCAGAAACACTTAGTGATCATTTCTTTCAACCCAGGCTGCCAAAATTACACTTCAGGAAAACTGGCGTCAGATTCTGAGAGTTGGGAAAAAAGGGGCAAAAATGCAAGCATTGCTAAGCCTGCTGTAGAGTAGTAATAGCAGGGATGGGAACTTGCTATGAGTGCTGGTCTCAAAGGACAGCCTTGGCAATGCCCCAGACAATGAGAGCTGTGATCTTCAAGAGGTGCTGTATGAGTACATATCGGTCAGAACCCTTGCTTGGGCTTAAAAATAAAGAACACAAAGATCAGGATGCCCTGCACTGGTGTCTGCAGTCAGAGGTCGGGGAGGAAGCAGAGAATGAATGAGGCATACAGGCTGCAATTGTAGCCAGGTGTAAGGGAGGCACCCCAGGTGTTAATGGGCACCCAAACCTCTTTACTGGCAGTGGCCTTTGTGTGGTACAAGAGTAATTTCTTAGAGTTTTCTAAACCTTTGAAAAAAGCAAAGATCTTGGGAGAAAAACAAAGCCTCCCCAGGTACTTGTGTAGTACAGTAAGTGAAAGAGCTGGTAATAGAGGACAGGGCATTTCACTTTCAAAAGCAAATTGCCCTAAGGTTTGATTTTCCCCCACATAAACTGCATGAGAAGGGACCCGGTGAATAATAAATAAGGAGCCTTAAATTTTTTTCTTTTCTTTAGGGAAAAACATGACCTATAGGATCAAAATGCAATAGGGCAAAGAGCCAAAGGGTGGTGTCCTTGCTGCTCTAGGAACTGAGCCCGTGTAGTGATGGTTGGCTGGCACAGAGATACTTCTGAAAAGACTTTTAAAAAGATGAATGACAACAAACAAATGAATGTCTTACAGATTTTTTTGAGAATTCTCTGAGAATAATACAAATACCGCTGCTTATATGAAAAGCTATTTGTGTGTTAATGTAAGAGATCAGGTCTCTCCCAAACCTGTAGCTTCTATTGTACATACTATTATGAACAAAATCAGGTACTTCTGTCCATTTGTGCCTGTGCCTTTCCCATTAATACAAAGCAAACCTCACTCTCCCACTCCCTTCTCTACTCCCCTTCACTGCTAGATAACCCAAAGCACTCCTCTACACCAGCTATCTCCTCTCTGCATCTTTAAATCACCCCACAATCCATTCCTATTTCCTTTCATCCTCTATTATTCTATGGAAACACAGGTTACAGTTTAGTGCCTTCAGGCCACTAAATTCAATGAACTTTTTGAAAGTCCTCATTTTACCTACCCTTTCAGAAGCATTCTAAACTGTAAACCACTTCCCTTCTGTGGTTTTGGGGACCCAAAGTGTTCCTGATTTCCCTTTTTGCTCTGTGGCTCATCTGCAGAAATTTACATCTAGATGTATTATAAACTATATCTCCAGTCCAGATTTTTCCAGGAAGATCCCAGTTACTCTCATAAAAATCTCTGGGTTGTCTGAAAGGCATCTCAAAATGCAACATGTTCAAAGCCAAATTAATGATTTTCCTCATAAAACCCAGTCTTTTTCCAGAGTTCCCTTTGCAAGCACACAGCAACCTTTCCGTCCAGATACAAGAGTCAAAAACTGAGGAGGTCAAGATTTCACCTGTATGTCCTTGCCTCCACATAAAGTTCCCCATCATGTTATCTGCCTCTGAAGCATGTTCACTGGCTACTGCTAACTCCACAGACATTCTGGTCCCCAGGTTTCATTACCTCTTGCTCAACCATGCAGTCTCCCAAGTGCTCTGACCATAAGCCACCATGGCCCCAATTCAATCTCCTACCCACACTACAGCCAGATGCCTCTTTTCAAAACACAAACCAGACCATATTACCCCTTCTACTTAAAAGTTCTCAATGGTTTCTCATTATTTTTAGGATATACAAATATAGCTTAGCATGACCTACATTCTCTAACCTTACTTCACCCTTTGCCCTTCCAACCATTCTCTCTGCTGCATCTACACTGTCTTCCAATCTTCTTCCAGCCCCTTTCTGCTCACCATAATTTTTGCCACTGGGCTTTTGCATGTGTTAGTTTCTCTTTTTGGATTGTTCTTCCTCTCTTCAGCCAGTTAATTCCTATTCATCTTTCAAATACTCCCACAAGAAATATTTCCTTAAGTAAGGCATTCCTAACCTAAGTTTAGAATACAGACAGACAAAAACTCCCAAAATATACGCTTGTTGTATGAGAGGTCTTTGTAGTGCTCATTATAGTTACAGTTTTATATTCATGTATTTGTTTTGTTTTGCTTTGAATGCCTGTATTGTTCTTTGACTGGGAGCAGGGAGTGTTCGTTTACTATTGCATAACCAGTACTTGGCAATGTATGGAAGGCAGTCACTGCCCAACAAAAATTTAATGAACTAATGCATGTGAGGTATGCCACAGGCTATGACCCCCATCTTAGGAAAGCAACACACACTATAAATTCTTCTGAATATGAGCTGGATTAGATGTCCTTTTCAGTTTCTACCCGAACTAGTATATTTTGATGCTGCATCTGAAGTTGAGGGTAGACTGCAGGCTCAGGCTGCCTGGCTTCCCCAGGTGGCTTGTCACCTAAGAGCCGCTATTATATAACATCTCTGTGCTCTAGTCTTCTCATCCGCATAGAATTATGAGGATTAAATGCATTAATAAATTAAGACACTAAGAACGTAGCCTGGTGTAAAGCAGGTACTATTTAAATATGAGTTATTACTGTTATTACTGTCGGTATTCTTAGGGTAACAGTAAACAATGATTAAATAGCTGAACCCAAAGAGAGGAAACCAAAACTTGGTATTCTGGACTGACCAGAGCAGCCTCAGGAAAATACTGATGCCAGCTGAACAATCGGCATTGACTGCCTGAGGTCGTGGCCAGTGAGATGCCTCACTGCTTCTTTGATACTCAAGGCCAACGTCATGGACGGTCAGTTGCCTGTTTCTGAACACCTGATGGGCATTCAGCCTAGTTCAAGTTTCAAAATGTGTATAAGGACTTTCACTTGAGATTCTTTCAAGTGGAGGAACTTCCATCCAGCTCCACTCTGTCAGAAACCAGAAACTAAATGTACAGAAGGAGCATTCATTCCTGGCTGTTCAGGGGCCACAGAGTTGCATGTCAGATTCTGAGGGCAGGGGTCTCCTCTCCCCACCTCCTCCTTGCTCAAGAGGTACAGCGGGCTTCTTGGGCTCTGAGTACCTCTGGACAACCCACCACTTACACTGCAATCTGTCTTCTTGGCCAGGCAATGGTATAAAACATGGAGGGACAGAAGCTGGGTGGAAGGTAGTTCAAAGGCTTCTTGCATCATGATCTCAAAAACCACGGTTAAAGCATCTGGCAAAAAGATCAAAGTAAAAATGAGAGGGTATTAGTTTTAGGTAACATCACCAAATCTGTACTTAACTATAAACTTAAAAAGTGGGGCATGACAGAAAAACAAACAGAATTAAGAAGCAAAAAAATGTGAGCTCTGATCCCAGATCTTCCACAAACTTCCCAAATATTTAGCTTCTACTATACTTACTATTATATACTAAGTCAGGTGCTTTTGTACCAATGTTCTCAAGGACACGGAATAATCTACTTAATTTCTCTTAACTTCTCCCAGTATCATCCTCTTGATGATAAAAAACAAAACAAAAAAACAAAACAAAACAAAACAAAACCATCTGTCCCACCTACTTCAATAGACTATGGCAGAAAGGCACTTGGGTGTCTGAGTCGGTTAAGCGTCTGCCTCTGGCTCAGGTCATAATCTCAGGGTCCTAGGATTGAGCCCCGCATCAGGCTCCCTGCTAAGTGGAGAGTCTGCTTCTCTCTCCCTCTGCTGTTCCCCCTGCTTGTGCTCTCTGTCAAATAAATAAATCTTATAAAAAATAAAATTAAAGAAACAAAACAAAATAAGGGGTGCCTGGGTGGCTCAGGTGGTTAAGCATCTGCCTTCGACTCATGTCATGGTCTTAGGGTCCTAGATTCAAGCCCTGAACTGGACTCCCTGTTCAGCAAGGAATCTGCCTCTCCCTCTCCCCCAGCTCATGCTCACTTGCTCACTCTCTCTCTTAAATAAAATCTTTTAAAAAAAGAGTACATACAAAAATGCCTCATAAATTGTGAAGCAAATTTAACACATCATGTCTGCCACCTAGAAGAACTAAGGCATACAGAAAGGAGGCAAATATATTTTCCAGGTCACCCTGACAAGCAGAATAGAAGGTCAACTGACTGCCCCATTCTGGGTTCTGGAACCTTCTCTGTGTTGGGGAAAATGAAGACAAATGCTAGCAAAGATCCTAAATCCCAGATATCATTATGGAGACAGAAAACTGAGAACTATAAAAAGGATAATTAGGCCCAGTTGAAAAAGAGTTGAAAGACTGGAAAGAAAAATGCACATTCATAAATTATAAGCCCCTGACTATAAAATACAATGTAAGATATTTGTTGCCACATGAATGCTGATCATAGATCAGACCTTGAGCAATTTTTATTTTCCCTTAAGATTCCACAACATAGATGGAAGCCAAGAAAATCAAGTTCAGACAATTTCTTTCCCTTAATATTTGTTGTTAAATTAGAGAATGTTAATATTGGTTTAAAATATGGTGCCAGAACATAAAACAGGCACAACAAATGTTTTTGACTAACTAAGCTGCTGTGTTAACCAATTTTTGCATATAATCATAATCATAAGAGTTAGCACTGACTTGCAGCTGTTCCTAGCCAGCTGGCTTTGTGCATGTTGTCATGGTTTTAAATGAGGCCATAGGCAAGCATTTCTATATTCTTTTTGGAAATGGGGAAACTGAGACACACCAGAAAGTCATCTACTAAATCAGCAGCAAATAAGGACCTGGAAGAGATTTAAAACAACAACCCCAAACAAACCAGTATTTTAAAAGAACACAATTTAAACCTAAAAATCCAGTTAAAAAAAAAATCTGGTTTTTCAATTGTTCATTACAGAATCCAAAATTACACATGAAAAATACATCAACTTACTTTATCTTTTATTTATATTCTGCATTTCATTCAGTTTGGGAAGTGAAATTAGATTACCCTGTACAATCAATTATCTTTTCCTCCATATTCACTTATGTACTTTGATATTTCCTACCCTATTAACAATAAAAAGTATACTTTCTAAATTTTTGCCATAAATGATAATAATCTTCATTAAAACTTTATTTTTAGAAATCCTCAATATTAAATATTTACTCTGCATTTAGGGAAAAAAAAGTCCTTCAACCTTTCTAACATGCCCTTTAAAGAGAGAGGGCAGGGAGAAAACTACTTCGAATAATTCTCCAATGATACACTATTAAATCTGATGTTCCTGGAGCATAGATTTGGTAACACAGAAAGGCTAATCCTCTTTCACTTGAATTCAGGAAATGTAGGTTTAAGACTGAATAAGAAATAGACAAGAAGGGATAACTGACATTTCAAAAAATAATATACAGCACATACTCTTTGGCAGTCAACAACTGCAAGTCTTTTGAGAGACGATAAAGCAGATATTCAGAGGAGACAAAGGGGAGAGGTGGCCACACTCATGGAAGGAATGCCCTGTTCCTAGCCTAAGCACTGAGTATGGACGCAGTGGGAAAGGCCACTGGTGCTGGTGTGCAGGGACGAGGGGATGGAACCCGATGGCAGGAATCTCAGATGTTATAAATGCATAAATGCCCACCAGTCTATATCCACCTTCCTGAGGTACTGACTACTAACATAGCTCCCCTGTGGGTAACATAGTACTAACATAGCTAATAAAAGAGTTCCATTGTGGCTCCTCAGTACCAAGCCTGAGGATGATATGGGGGAAAGGGAAAGCCAGGTGTGTCTTTACACAATAGCAAGACTCCTCTTTTCCTCCTCACTATCAGCACAGCCCCAAGTAGAAGCATGCTGGCATATGATTCCCTAACCCATGGATACTGGCTGGACATCGGGCCCCCTGACTCCTCTGTAGAGTCTACTGCAATCTCCATCTTTCCTTGGACTCCCTTATTGTAGTCGAAGTGAAGAGTCACTTCAAATTAACTGCATAGGCTCAAGAAATTTAGGGGGTAAAGAGACCTCAGAGATTACCCACCCACTAATTTTATAGATGAGGAAACAAAAGACTAGGGAGGGAAAAGGACTTTTCTTCATAGCAAGGGTACTGCTCTTCCCAGAAAAATCAAGTGATTTTCTAGTCTTATATTTCACACAGAATAACAACTGTGTCTTAAACTAAACAAAGTTAGCAAATGGTATTTTTTTAAAAAGAGTCAAGCTAACAATCGCATTACTACAACCTTAACCAGCCACGGCTGCTCAAGCAGGTTTATTGCTTAACTAAATTCACTGTCCTTTGCACAAGGAGGCAGGAACAAAAAAAACTTGAGAAACTGAGTGGAAAAAAACCTGGATACTATTGTCCTATCTGGCCAAATGGTATGGTAAATCAACTATACATCTATTTCTAACAGAAAGAGTGATCCAAAGAGATGTCATTATGAAACAAAATAAGCGAAATTGCCCATATTTACTTCCCTTTAGGAGATGAAGCCCCACTATAAAAGGACCCAGGTTTGGTTTCTTACCTTTGTAATTTTCTTTCTTTATGAAATAATCCATCAGTAAATTGAATGTAAAGTTATCTGGAAAAATTCCATACTGGACCTGGAATGGTAATGAAAATAAAAGGAAAATAAGAGAAAAATATTCACTTTCACTCAGCTCATAATATATGCCTATGCATTATTCATGACAAAACTTGCCACCATTAGCTTTAAGATATTTGCCTATCATTTTACAGCATCTGTGACAGTGAAATAGAAGATGTGACTCGTGAGGTTTGGTAATTGGAACTTGGTCAGGGTAAGAAAGTTGTGAGTGGGTGTATGACACAAGACAACTGATATGTGAAAAATAAAGCTCAACTGTAGTATCTTATCAAGGCTAAAAAAAAACCCACAAAAACCCTGAAAATTAAAAAAAAACAAACAAAAATAAAAACAAAAAATAATAGGCTCCCCCACTCCTGATACTCCACTGATTTAGCAATTCTTTTTATAAGGTAAGTATGTCAATGCAAAAATGGACTCTCATGAGAAAGTACACATTATCACATTATGTTCTGGTCTTTTATTTTTTCTCCAACTTTATTGATTATAAATTGACAAACAACGTCATGTAAGTTTAAGGGGTACAACATGATGATTTTATTTTTTTATCTGAGAAAGAGAGATAGTGAGAAAGAGCACGAGCAGTGAGGAGAGGGAAACACAGTCTCCCTGGGAGCAGGACCTGATGCAGGCGGGGCTCAACCCCAGGACCCTGAGATCATGACCTGAGCTGAAGACAGACACTTAACTGACTGAGCCACCCAGGCAACCTGAGTTTGTCTTTTTTTGATTCCACATGTAAGTGAGATCATAGGGTATATGTATTTTTCTAATTTATGTCACTTAGCATAATGACCTTAAAGTTCATTCATGTTGTCACAAATGACAAGATCTTCATTTAAATGGCTGAATAATATTCCACTGCATACATATATACCACATTTTCTTTATCCATCATCTATCAATGGACACTTGGGTTGCTTCCAGGGTTGGTTATTGTGAATAATTCTGCAGTGAACACAGGGGTGCATATATCTCTTTGATATCCTATTTTCATTTCCTTTGGATATATACCACAAGTGGGATTTCTGGATCATATGGAAGTTCTTTTTATTTCCTGAGGAATCTCCATAGTGTTTTCCATAGTGGCTGCACCAATGTGCATTTCCATCAACAGTGCACAAGGCTTCTCTCTTTTTTTTTTTTTTAAAGATTATTTTATTTATTTATTTATTTGACAGAAAGGCAGAGAGGCAGGCAGAGAGAGAGGGAGAAGCAGGCTCCCTGCTGAGCAGAGAGCCCGATGTGGGCTTGATCCCAGGACCCTGGGATCATGACCTGAGCCAAAGGCAGAGGGTTTAACCCACTGAGCCACCCAGGCGTCCAAGGCTTCTCTTTTTGCCACAATCACACCAGCATTTGTTTTTTCTTGCCCCTTAGACTGGTTTTTAAAGAACTTAGAAATATTCCAACAAAATATTACTGAGTTCCTGTTCAGGAGCAGCTAAGTATTTGAGAATCCACATTTCCCAAAATGTGGACCCTTTAGCATCTGCCTCAGAATTCTCTAGGAGTGTTTTTAAAAAAGTAGATTTCTGGGGCACCTGGGTGGCTCAGATGTTTAAGCGTTTAACTCTTAGTTTTGGCTGAGGTCAGGATCTCAGGGATGTGAGATTGTGCCCCAAGTTAGGTTCCATGCTCAGTATGGAATCTGCTTGGAATTCTCTCCCTTTCTCTCTCCCTCCTCCTCTGTCCTTCTGCTCGCTCTCTCCCTCTCTTTCTTAAATAAACTCTTTTAAAAAAAGGAAAAAAATGCAGATTGCTAAACCTCAGACTTATAGAATCAGAATCTCTGGGAACAGCACATAAACCTGAAGTTTTAGTGACCTTTCTATGTCATTTTCATGCACAATCATGTTTGACTAGTAATGATCTACCTAGACCGTGATTATATTTTTGTTTTAAATTCTTACTTGAGTAGGATTAACTACCATCCCCCATCCTGCCCCATTCTTCCTCCACCAGACACCAGAAACACCTGAGGAATTTTTTCAGTTGAGACACACCCTCGGGGAGAGTCTGACAGTCCTAACACCCCAGTTACGAATCACTGTTGAATTGAGTTCCTATTACATTAGGCGGTATGGGATGCCTTAGATGTGCTGAAATGGAAAAAGGGTTTAGAAGCCATTATTTTAAAGGTTGTGGCTCATGGGCAGTTTCTGTATTTCTCAAAGCAGTCATCCAAATCGGCACTAATCCCCAGGGGCAGGGCAAAAACAAAATATTTTAGAATGATAAAACATTAAAGCTGGAAGGAGCCTTAAAAATCAACCACTCAGTGATTCTCAACCCTGGTTGCAAATGAGAATCAGCGGGAGAGCTTTTAAAAAGATATGGTAAGGGATGAAGAAGGCAGAGCACAAAGGATTTTAGGGGCAGTAAAACAACTGTATGATACAATAATATATACATGACATTTCACATTTGTCCAGGCCCGCAGAATGTACACCACCAAGAATGAGCCCTAATGTAAACTATGGATTTGGGTGATGTGACAATATAGCTTCATTAATTGTAACAGATCACTCTGGTTGGGGGGCAGAGTTGATAATGGGGGAGACTGCATATGTGTGGGGCAGGAGCATACAGGAAATTTCTGTATCTTCAGATCAATTTTGTTGTTGTACCTAAAACTGCTCTAAAAAAAATAAAGTTTATTTAAAACATTTTGTTCTGGGGCACCTGGGTGGCTCAGTTGTTGGGCGTCTGCCTTTGGCTCAGGTCATGATCCCGGGGGTCCTGAGATTGGAGCCCCACATTGAGCTCTCTGCTAAGAGAGAAGCCTGCTTCTCCCTCTCCGACTCCCCCTGCTTGTGTTCCCTCTCTTGCTGTGTCTCTCTCTCTCTCAAATAAGTAAATAAAATCTTGAAAAGAAGAGAAAAATAAAGAATTTCCAGCAGATTAAAAAAAAATTTTTTTTGTTTTTAATCCATTAAAAAAATGCCAAAAGCCTATGCTCTATAAAGGTTAATTTTTTTTTTCCTAAGATTTTATTTATTTATTTGACAGACAGAGATCACAAGTGGGCAGAGAGAGAGAGGAAGGGAAGCAGGAGCCCCGCTGAGCAGAGAGCCCAATGCGGGGCTCGATCCCAGGACTCTGGGATCACGACCTGAGCCGAAGGCAGTGGCTTTAACCCACTGAGCCACCCAGGCGCCCCTATAAAGGTTAATTAAGTGAGAATCTTGGGGGTAGAGAAAAGCAACTCTAAAATTTTAAAGAGTCCTGTGTGATTCTAATGCAGAGCCAGGGTTGGAAATCACTGATTAGTACAACTCACTTGACTTACAGTTGAAAAAACTAAGACCTAGATGGGTAAAATTATTTGCTTGAAATTACGGGCATCTGGTGGAACTTATGAGATTATAGCCTGGGTCTTCTGATTCCTTGTCCAGTGTTCTTTCCACCAAAAGACTAGGAACAGCAGAAAACCAGATAAACTTTTATGCCTTTCTAGACACTTTCTGTTTTGTTTTCAAAGAAATATTCCGTGAATATAATCTGTGTCATTAAACTCTGAACTAATGAGAACAGGATTTGATCCATTCTTTCCTCTGGGGCTTAATATTAAATTTCTCAGTAAACATATTTAACTGCATTATTCAATTATAAGCGTCCTGAGGGCAAGGAAAGGATATTATTCATTTTTATAGACATTGCTACACCCAATGCAATTTCACACACACACACACACACACACACACACACAAACTGTCTGCAACGTATGTGAAGCTGAATTGGGCCCAAGTCACGGAAAAAATAAATTATGGTATCCTTTTGAGTTCTAACATACAATGTTCAGTGACACTATGAAGATAATATGTTTGCACAGAAATATTGTTAAAATCTTTTTGAGTCAAACAGGGTTATAGCTTGAGACTTACAAAAATAACATTCACAATTTTTGCTTATTTTGTACTTTAGTTCATACTATAAAGATAATGAAGACTCAACCCTCGGTGGAATGTAACATTCAGAAAAACCCTAATCATAGGGGACTCAGGGGCTCGAGGAAAGCAATCAAGGAATTCAGAAGATAGGTTTTGAGTAACCTAGGAAATATTTGTCTTTAAAAACTGTGTAAGATGGTCTGAATACACTGGAGATCACATTCCAGCAAAATGGTCATGTCTTTGTCCCTAAACATCAACAAAGGGAACCAGGCAAGAAATCCATACTTTAGGGATCAAGAATGAACCACCAGTGCAAAATTCTTGTGACTCAACTTCCTTTTGCTTTGTCATTTTCCAGTCACTAGGTGTGGAAAAAGAGCAGCTAGGGAATTTTTATATTTGACCATTGATTAATTTATAGTTTATTAATTTAATTAATTCCATTCAAAAAAGGGTATCTAGGAGCAAATAGATATCCAAAGTTATTTATTGTCCTAGTCTTTGCTATACTATAATAGGTATTAACATCTAAACTCAGGAAAACAAGCTGCAATTACCAGGAAACCACTCACCTTATTTACAAGGGTATATAAGGCTTTGTCTTGTGCACCGTATTTTAGACACTGTCTAATCCAGGTGTGGATAGTCCAATCTCTCAGGTACCAGCAGTTGGGGCTGTGTCGGAATCTAAATAAAGCATAAGAGAGAAAACTGGGGTTAACTCTGAAATGTCAATGCCAAAATGCATCCTCAATCAGGTCCTTCTAGTAGATATTTACCAATGTGCAGTCAGTGTTAACAAAAATTGTAAAGGTCAACAGTCAATAAAAACAGTCAATAAAACCTCTTAACTATAAAGTATGAAATGGGAAAGAGGAGGCAGAATAAAAAATAACAAAACACCTTAAATGCTGTATTCCTTACTTAACGCTTCTTGAGGCAACATCTTGTTTTAAAATACAAGATTTATAAAAAATGATCTGGGGAAAACACGAACCATGGCATTACACAAATACACATTTCATTAGAAGAGAGATGTGAGGCTGAAGCTGACACTTTTGAAGTTTGAAACAGATGAAGCACAAATGGAGAAGAATACCACAGCAACTCTAGAGGGTTATCAGCTTTGAGTTATACTGATATTTCTAATGGCACTTCAGAGAGATAGGGACACTCTTAACTGAACCAAAAGAAAAACAAACAAACAAACAAAAAAAACCAGAAAAAAAAAAAAACGAAGCACAATTAAACATCCAGGTCATCCAGGATCCACACCCTCCCACCGCCCTCTTCGAAGCTCCATTCTAGCCCATCAGTTTGCCTATCTCCTTCTGTTTCCTGTAGCTGCCCACATGGCTTTAAAAAGCCGAAGTAGCCTAAGCTGAGGTGTGTGTGGCAATGGTACCTACAAAGGAATGGAACCTAGAAAGGTATTCTGAGCACTGCTCTTGCCTCAAGTGTGCACACACTGGTGGTACCCGGGGCTGGGGTGACTCCCTTTTGCCTGCAGGTCCCTGCCATCCCTGCCACAGACTAAGGGAGAGACGAGATGCTGCTGTGAGGGGGGTGGTTAAAGAGCTTTGTCTTCCTTTTTCTGTTTATCTGTTGTGATTGGGACACATCATCAAATGTCGTATCATGTCAGGGGAGGTCCCCATCTTTTCTTTAATTGTTCAGGAAGCACATCAATCTCCAGACTCTATAAAAATCAAACTGTTTTCTTAAATAAAAAAGGTAAGACAAAAACTTGGAGCAAAAGGATTTTGTGCCATATTTGAGTTGAGGATACGGCTAATACCAGTGTTTTTTAGAAGCTGGTTATTCAATCTGCCACCTGCTATTTCCTGCCATCTGCTATGGGGATAGTCTCCTGCTGAACAGGTTCTCTGCCAAAGTAAAAGCTGAGAAAAAGAGATGAAGTGTGAAGTAGTATTTAATTTAGGATATTTATTAGTGCTTTGGTGAGAAATTTGGCAAAAACAAGATCTGAAGATGTTTTATGGATACAGAGTCATGTAACCCTCTTTTGACTTCTGAATATCTTACATCTTACTGGAAATTATTTCTCACTCTTTCTTTACAGAGTTAACCCTTAAAAAGCAGAAAAAGAGATGGGACACCTGGCTGGCTCAGTCAGTGGAGCATGTGACTCTTGATCTTGGGGTCATGTATTTGAGCTCCATGTTGGGGGTAGAGCTTACTGAAAAAAATTTAAAAAGCGATGCGACTTTTTATAAAAAGGACAGAAAGAGAGAAATATGTCAAATTATGTTCTGGATGAAAATGACCTAGCCAGAGTAAGTCACTGTATAGGTGCCCAAGATACTAGATCTAAGGAGATCTTCTGCATAGAAATGAAACAAAATATATGTTAGTAGTTCGTGCTTTCCCTCACATTTTAAAGTCAACAGTTGGGCTATTTGAGTTCCTCTCCTTATTAATCTGAAACATCTGAGATTTAAAGTATAATGGTTAATTATTTTAATTTTTAACATTTTAATTTTTAAAGAGAGAATTCAAGAGAATTACCAGGTGTACTGCCTAAATAAGGGTGATGCTGCTTGCTGGCTTGTAAGCCCTTGCTGGGCAAGGAGGGCCATGCTGCTGGTCCAGCACTGACTCCTCAGGGCCTGACACAGTTGGTGGCCCACAGGTTTTCAGCAAATAAAAAAAGAGCTTTGGTCAACAAATGTATAAAATGCTATTATGTGCTGATCCTTTTGCTAACATCTAAGACATATACAAAGAACTGTAAAGTCCCTGTTTGGGGCATTTCTAATTTCATTACAAACACGAAGTACACAGACATAGTTCACAACACTACGAGGTAGAACACAGTAAGTGCTAAGGAGACACAGGGCATTGTTAGCTGCTGGGAAATGTACTGGGTAGCAGTGACGGTTAGGTTCCATCCATTTTTTTCTTTAAAAACAAACAGAATTAGAAATGTCAATTACCTTCTCTACCCAAGATTATTTTAAACCTAAACCTCATTTTAAAATCTAATCTTCTGCCTTAGGATGTCTCCAGTGACTACAGAACTTGTGACATTTCTTTCTGATAGACTTTAAAACAAGGGCACCGTGACAAAATCCAACCAAACAGCCTTTTTATTTAGGCTTTAAAGAAAACAAAGATTAATAGGACCTAGGTTTAGACCTTCAAAGTTCAAATTAAAATTTGTTTAAAGTCATTGTTAACTGTCTGAGGCTAACGTTCATATGTGGAAGAACAGAACAATTTTATCTTCTCAAAGATCTTGTCTTCTCACACTTGGATTTCTTAGAAGCCTAGAGAGAAAGTTAACTCAAGACTTTACACAAGGATCTCAGAACAGCGGCCTTTGAGAGATTTGTCAACTGACCCTCAGGGGTCTTTAGTTATGTCCACTGTCTCCCTCATCCTGGAACAGAGCTACTTGGTATGATCTCTGCTCTCTAAGACCTAGGAATCCAGAGACACAAACATGTCTAGGACATGTTCAACTATGTGAGCAAATTAAATCAACTTGGGAATACGAGGGAATCACTTACACCGATTTTATGAAATATGCTCCCCAAACTGCAGCTCATGCACTTCCCAAGCAGGCAGCATACGAACTCTTTTCTAAGTCCTTATCGGTGTTAAAAAAGAAATTAGGACACAAACATATGTGTGTTATCTAGCTGTCTAGAACATAAACAACTCAAGCCATTGAGACAGTAGGGTCCACCCCACTCTGGATGGTGAATTTGAGGACTTGTCTATCAATGATTTTAAGCAGTTCAAACAGATAAACGTGGGCCCTGCTCAGAACTGCCAGTGGTAATATGATAGGCAGGTAAGTCTCTGGAAAGGGTACTTGTCTGGAACGATTCCATGCACTGCTGGAGGAGCATTCTCCCGTTTAGCCAGGAGAAAGGCAAAGACACGAGAACACAACTAACACATTGATTTTCCAATTTGCCTGCAAACAGACTGGCTTTTGTTCTCGCCTGCTCTGACCACCAGCCTGGCAGATTACAGGCGGCCACTGTCGGAGTCCCCTCTGTGCCCTGTGCCATCAGCTGTTTGCTCACCTCGACAGAAGCTTTATTATTATCCAGGCCAGCAGGCTGCCAAGCTAGGCAAACCGTGTGAGTGTGGAAAAGATAAACAAATGCAACTCAGATCTCCCCAACAATGCCTGTGCTCATGGAGGCCATGGATATTCGGAGTTTCCAGCTTAAAAAATATAAGTAAACTTACAACAATTCTAAGGACATGAGTATTTCCTGGGAAAAAGGACAGAATGAAGAGGTGCACTCTCAACCTCTACCTCTAGTTCTCAAAGTTGATATCCCAAGGCCAAGGACACTCTGTCCACCGTGCTAAGTGGCATTCCAGGTGAAGACATAACTGGTCTAAGAAGCCAAATCATGGACAATCACATGGCAGGAACTGGGAAGCTTCCTCTCCTCAAAATCAGGCTATATTCAGGACTGCTCAGGGCATTCGCCTGCACCATGGCTCATCCAAGATTAATGTCACCAGGAAGGAAGCAGAGAATCACAGGCTGCAAAACTGACTGGAGGCAGAAGTCTTTGATACCCCAGAGATTTTTGTTTATAGGGGAGGAGAGGTTACATTAAAGAAGTCAAGAGTGAAAAGCAAAACACCAGAGACTTACTGTGATTACACAAAAGATCCTTTACTGTGTGAAAAAGTCACATGGTATATCCTATCTGTAATCAATTTCATCATTTCATTGAAAAAAAAAAAATAAAGGGGGGAAACAGCCTTTTCTCCACAGGGTTCATCTAAAGGTTACTGCTGAAGGCAAAAGCGACGATGTTCATCAGCTCTTCAGTACAGCAAGTAAATGTGCTTCCGGCTGGGCAGGGCTGATGCACAGATGCCAGAGCCTGGAGCTCAGCGGCTCCACCATTTCGCTGCAGCACTGGCTCTTCCATATGAATGAGCAAGCTTTCCACAACGTTTATCTGATTATGAGAGCCACCAGCCTTAAACATACACATGCAGTTTCCTCTCCTCCCTAGTGAATTCCGTATCCTGTGGCAACAGGCTTTCCAGATGGAAACCTCAGCTTCTGGGCTGGGCGGGCACACATGGAGGCAAGTGAGGGGCCAGGGTGAAGAGAGGAAAGAAAGAGTGCCAAGAAGAAAATACAGCTGGCTCCAAAGCCTGTCGTGTGGACTGGGACTCTTATCAGTGAAGCAAAGTGTGTAATTATTAAAAGGTCTGAGCACTTCCCTGAACTAGAACCAAAGGGTAAAAGGGTGCCCTGTGACTATTTAAGCCAGAATCTGATTCAATCATTGCTACTGACTTTCTCATTCTAAAAGGATAATTAGTTTCTTTTGCAAACTCCTGGAAATTCTGCTTTCATCAATTATTAATTGCACCCCCAAACCCATAAAGAAAATCAAGTTTTGATAATTTTCTAATGACTATTATATTTTTGCCAACTGTTTAAAAAGGGGGTAAGGTCTAATATAGGAACTGATAATAAAGACACAGTCCTGTAGACTTTAAATCTCTTCCCTGCTTGAGATCCCAGAGTCTTATTCTTTACAAAGGAACTTCAGTTAGTTTTAACTTTCAGCAAACATGTTCCAAGTGTACACTAACAGAAGCATCAGGATCAATAATCTGGTCTGAAATGCTCCTCCCTCAAACGGCCAACCAGTTTGGGCTCAACCACTGCC